ACTATCATAGTAATATTTACTAAAATGCGTGTTTTAACCTCAGAAAACACCATGTCGGTTAGTAAAAATGCTCAGATATTTTCATGGCATAGGTACATCAAAAGATGCGGATTTTTCGCCCGGTAGTACTTTGTTTGAAAAAAAAAAAAAAAAACAATTTTTTTTATACAATTTAGAAAACCAACAACAAATGTACATTCGTTGGTTTTATTTTTGTAGATTTATGGGGGTTACACTAGCTGCGGGATGGAAAAAACACGGCTAATACTACTCCGCTCAGAAACCTTTTTTTTTTCCGTTCGTAATGGTTTATTGTTGCGTAAAGTATATGAACGAAATTATTCTGTGTGTCCTACCTACCCATTACCCACATACAACAGCCGCCTACCTACCTGTGAACGTTACTTTTTTATTACTATTATTATTGTTATTAAACGGACATAAAGCGCGTAATAAATTATAACCGATTACCTGTCTATATTTACGTATGAATCATTTGCGCTATAAATATTGTGTTTTCTATTGGTTTTTTTTTTTTTTTCAGGTGCCGATCTCATGCCTAATAGCAAGTATAAAATGTCAGAGTCGCCTATAAACGAATATTCATTGCAAATGAACCTGACCATAACGAATCTTGAACTCAAAGACTTTGGCGGATATCTATGTATGGCCAAAAACGCATTGGGTAAAGCCGAGGGATCCATAAGGCTTCAAGGTATTTTAAAAAGTCATTCGTACCCCCATTACATTTTGTGCTACGGACCGAGACTATATACCCAATAATACGAAATTTCAATGATATACGACATTTCCCGTATATTTCTACCACCCTATTATCTAATATTATACCTTTTTCGACAGGTTTAGAATTATAATTTGTACTGTGAAAATTACACTGCAACAGTAACGACTTAATGCAATTTTACTTTCTACTATTATTCTGCTTCTTTTTCCCGGCATCATAACTCTTTTTCAAGATAGTCTCTGTCGCCACCGACACTATCAACCATCGCAATTGTGTACCCTGTCATATTAATTCAAAACACCTAATTTTTCCGGGTCCATTCAACTGCCGCTTTTAAGTCCGCTGATCCATGGCCATCACATGTCTATACGAATGTGTTCTCTGTGCGCTGTGCCTTTGCAAAATTTGCCATCTTCCATACTTGTGACACATCCTAAACGCCAGCATGCCATTCTTGTTTTGTCTTTCATGCCAGCATCCCATTTCGTGGTCATTTACGTGGACCACAGATAATTCTCAGTAACCATTTAGTCTTCGTTTTTCTCCGTTTAGTAAGTAACAGTTTTCACACCATACGACCTTACAACCTTTCATTGCGTCACCTTTCATCTGATAACGTGACGACACGAATATAATTTAACTTTTTTTGTTTCACTTAACTAACGCATCAATCGTGTTTATAAATAATACGTTAAAATAAATCGAAAGTTTCGTTTTAAATAAATGCCTTTAAATTTGAAATTTATTTCAGGTCGCGTAAAAAATCGATTAAATATCTTGAGTCGCGTATACACAAACGGTTGAGAAACGCACCTGTATAGTAGCGTTTTTACAGTTTTCCAAATTTTCAAATACTTTATTGTTTTTAATAGTAACACAACAGTATGGAATATTATATGAGTATTCAATGTATAATGGATATTTCGTGGTGTATATGTATAATATTTTTTTTTTTAAAAAAAAAAAAACTTTTATTGTTCACAAAATTGAATTAAAACTCTTTTCGTTTTTATTTTTTTTTATTTTCCGAGAAGAATCGCCGTTTCGTTGAAATTCAGACAAATAAAATACTCCGTGAGCAATAATGTTCACTTTAATATTGATAAAAACGAAATGGAGAGAAATACAATCACCGTTCATATTATTGTTTAAGATTTATTATATAATTGCGTATATAAACAATTAATATATGAAATGTGCGAAATAAATAAATCAATTTTCATTTTAAATCCATTATAAACTATATAATACTGAGTGTAACACAAAGGTCTGACACCTGAAATGACTTTTGTTCTGTTCAATAATTTTAGGTTTTTTTTTTTTTTTTAAACTAAAAATAAAACAAATTTTTTACAAAATCCAAAATCGTAGGACCCATATTATAAATATGCATTTTGATTTAAAATTTTACCGGTGTTAAACAAATTTACTGATGATGAATCATTAAATTTCTTCAATTTTTTGAAATTTTTCATTCATACATATTTATATTTTAAAGTGATCCCGTTGATATTATTTAGTAGTGGCAACGAAAACAATTTAAATTAGCATCAACTTGAAAAAATTTTAAAATTTTAACTTTTCGTCATTAGTAAATATTTGTGAAGCCAACATTTCTTCCAAAATCTCTATAACTATAAAACAGCTCTCTAAAATATTCTCTAAAAACATTTGATTTTTTTTAAATTTTACTTGCAAAAAAAATATAAAAATATACGGTTATACTTAGGACGATGGGTGAGTCACTGGTGTAGGTGAGAAGTTGAGAAGCTGGAGAGGAAATTTAATGTATATCTGTACGCAACGATTAACCATTGCTAACGAAAAACAAATCTAAGAGTTTGGTTAATAGTACACCCCTTTGTAATATTTACAAATTAGGCCGTACATTTACGAATTTCATCAGAATTGATATTAAAATTTTTATAAAAAAAAAAAATTATAATAATAATACATTAAATTCAATTTTTTTTTTTTTGTGACCCTAAAGTAAGAATTATTATGAACCTCCTATTAAATTGTCTAACATTTCTGTACGATCTAACAATTTATCCACAGAGAACCTACTGAACAAAAAATGGTGTAAAAAAAAACTATGGAATTAAAATGCCTATAAATAGCTCAAAAATGGCTAAAATATTTTGAACATTTTACCACGTCTAGAAAAGGTAATATATATAGTTTTCTGGTCCAAACTTCAATTCTCTACAAATGTTTTTAACCAAATCAAAGCAAAACAAGACAACAAAAATAGCTGATACTGGGGATGGGAGCGACCACTGTTATAGGTGAGAAGTTGGGAAGGTAGGATAGATAAGGTTATTTCATTTAAATTTGTTAGCAACGATAAACCATTGCTTGACGAAAGACGGTTCCGAACGCAGTTTTCGGTAATATATAATTTGAAGTGCTATGCTTTGAAGTATTATTACCAAGTTTCAAGTCTCTACGTGAATTTAAAACCGAATTACAGCAATGAACTCCCAAAAATTAAACTTCCTTAAAAGCTCAAAAGTTTTGATGACAATACCGTAAGAAAGTAATTTAAAAAGGCAACAAAAAAAGTATTTTGTGATTTTTCGTATAAATCATTTTTTCTGGTAGAAAACGTCGTCCGTGTTTTTATGAAATAACGAAATGGTGAAATTGTACGTATTCCTGCGTTTTTTTCTACTTAAGTGCTTTTATTTAAAAAAAAAAAAAAAAAGGCGTTGAAAAATGACCTAAAAATACCACCCAAACATTCGTGAATAGTGTTTCATTTGAAATTCGAAACGAAATCGTTGGTAGAAAAGTTGTCCACGGAAAAAAAAAACCTTTTTAAAAAATAAACATCATCTCAAAACCGACATTTTCCTCGCTCCGCTCAAAATCTAAAACTGTAAAATTAAAGGAAATGCTATACCTGATCGTCACGGATCAACAAAAGGTAACGGAACACTTAAAAATATCGAACAGACCGAAAGTCATTTCGAACGTCGGGTCTCCGTGTTACACCCTGTATTTCCACGAGACCCCCGCGGTTCGCGTGTCTTCCCCTATCGCGCGTGACCAATTTAACGTGGCGTTCCCACTGGCGTGATTCTAGTTGTCAATGTACCACGTCACACGTAGGCAGTATATAGGCTAGGGTCGGGTACGTATTGAACAATAACAGTCATCTGTTATTGTTCGTCGCGAACACCTATACACGTCCGTCACGTTATCGTAACACGCGGTTTTGATTGTTGTGTTCCGGTATAGAATTGCATTTGCCCAGAGCGCCGACCACGGCGGAACCGCCGGAGTCGGAACCGGAAGACGACGACGAGTCGCCGTCGGAGTCGGAAGAGGCGAACCTGGTGCCGCACAACGACGTGACCGCGGGCGGGGGAAGCGGCAACGGCCGGTCGCCGGACGGGTCCCTGCGTCAGACTGACCAGCAGCGCGAACACCCGCCGCCGTCAACGAGAAACCCGTCGCTGACCGGCCATAACGGCAACGGCAACCGTCACAAAGACAACAGGCAGCGGCACGGCGGCGGCAAAGGTTCCGGCGTCCGGCACACGGCCGCCGGCTGGACGCTACTGACGCTGGCGGCGGCCGTGGCGGCCGCGACCTACCGGTGGACGGCGTCCCCGGACTGGGGACCGTCCCGATGAATAGTCGCCGCCGCAGCCGCCCCGCACCGTAGAGCCGCGCCCGCGGGACGAGCGTGACGACGACCACTATGCCGCCGTCGCCGCTGACAACACCTCGATGATTCCTGATCAAAGACAATAAACGATTTTTAATTATATGATTTTTTTTTTTTTTTTACATTATTTTTTCGATTTAAGCGTTTTTTCGTTTTTCTGTTTGTTAAACGGTTAAAAACACGGCGCCTTGTACGCGGACACGAGAGGTCGCGTCGCGTACACGTAGCCGCGTCGCGTTGCCGTTTTTAATATAACCTAATATTATTTTAATTGATGTTATCGTTATTATTATTATTATTATTATTATTATTATTATTATCATTATCATTATAAACCTATAGCCGCGGGTTTGGATTGAGCACGCGCGCGTCGTCCCGCCAGAGAACGTTACACGTGATAACGAACGGTAATTTCGTTTCCAAACGGGTTAGCGCCGGCCAAAACGTAAATGTCCAGAAAAAAAATAATAAAATCCGCCGAGTATTGAGCGTGTTGTACTCTCTCGTTACATTCGGTGTTTTATTTTTTTATTGTTTGTTTTTTTTTTTTTTTTTTTTTTTTTTTTTTTTTTTTGTACACCGCGTAAAAATTACCGTTTGTTATTATCATCGTCACCGTGAGTGCCGTAACCTTGCCGTCTTCTGTTGTTTTTGTTTTTGCTGTTACGACCTCTCGTTTAACAGTACTCGGTATTTGTTTAATTTTTCCTGAGCCTGCGAACCGAAACGCGTAGATAGATTATCGCTCGCCAAAATCCTCAGAATTTAAAAATCTGATAGTTTTAAGCTTTCCGTATGGATACTCGAATAACTTCTTTTTTCGATAGTAGTGATATCGAAATACAAAAAATTAACGTCGCGCATACGATTTTTTCGTAAACGTATTCGTTAATTTCGCGATCACGTGATAATTATTACTTGTGATAACGACGCGCGGGACTCTGCTTGTAAATGTATTCGAAAGTGAACGCGAATTTCTTTCAGCCGATATAAAATTGCATTATTCCAACAATGTATTGTTTGCTCGACTAGCCGTATTATTGTATGTTTGAGATTTTGACACTCTTATAATAAGTGAGAAAAATTCGTTTGGAAAAAAAAAAAAAAAAAAAAGCTAAACTTAGAGTGTATTTTTAAGTTACATTTTCGTAACTACTCGGTTTCGGTGTATTACCGCCTTCGAATTACCGATAACATTGTTTTTGGTTCAATTACATACCAATAAAAAGACAAACATATACATTTAAATTTAAAATTAAAAACGTTACATAATTAGTAACTTAAAGCTGGTAATATACCGAAACCGAGTAATTACGAAAATATAACTCTAATAGTACACTCTAAGTCTAGTTTTTTCATTTGTTTTTTTCGAACAATTTTTTTTGTTATTCTGAAAACGTCGCGAAATTCGCCACCACTGAAACACGGTAATTGGCACGTTCTCTTGACGCATATTGCAATGCACACTTACATTAGGATTGTAAATAATTTCCGTGGTTTGCGCGGTGGTAACGAGACGAATGTTATCTCGACGTTTTTTCTCGACGCGTTCAAAAATGTAATGACGAATAATCAGACGGCACGGTGATGATATTATACCTCGAATGAAGTCGACGTTCCGAATTTCCGAACGTAAAACAACACGTGTAAGAATTTTTTATTTTCGTTGCGCCCTGAAATGTACCGAAACGACTTTATTAAAAATATCAACGGAAAAAAAATTCGTGACATTCTTCGCGTGTGCATACTGTACACGTTATTACGTGTATTCCGTATTCGCGATATATGTACTGCGGCCGTTTCTTCCTCCCTCGCTCACCCGGGGAGGAGGAGGATTTTATAATATAACCATCACGTCGGTATTATTAAAATAACGAATATAACGCGCACCCGAAAACGGTCCGTGTTAAAATGTATTACTCGTACTTACGGGTCTTTGTAGAATTGTTACGGGTTTTGAAACGGGCGCGGATGTATTCAGTTTGGCGAAAAAAAAACCAATACCGAAATTCCTTTTTATAAATAAAAGAAAATTAATCCGGAAATCTGTTGTGCACTCGGTTAGGGTATAACGAGACGGTTTCAAAAAGGCCGATTTTTTTTTTAAAAAAAACGCGACTACTCTCGGTCAGTGTATCTATTCGAATTTTGAAATTCGAAAGTTGAATTTGAAATTTTGAAAGTTTACAATCTGCAGGAAACGAAATTTACCGGTGAAATAGCACATCAAACACAATGTATTATGGCTATCACTGTACGTTCGTGACAGTCGGTTTTCTGACAGACGGTGTAATCGGACCGTTTTCTTTAACACGACAATGTCAGCGCAGTAACACCGCGAATAGTCCATCTGAAATTCCCCTCTGAAATTTAACAACGGTATGGAGTCACGTAAAGAAGTCACGGGACGCGAGATCGCATATTACGGTCTTGATCATACCGCGAAGTAAGTTCGAACAAGATCGGGGGTGCCTCTCACGCGGCAAGGTCTCTCAGAATGTGCGACAGGTGATCTCGTCCTGTCGAAATCATGTTTCATCGGCATAAGTTCCTTTCAGTTATTCCGAAGCGAAAAGAAAAAAATAAACTCGATAAACATACATTTATACCCCGTTAACTGTCGCCATTCGCGTCGGCATGGCACGACAAAGGCAAATTTGTGTGAACACATTTTGTGCCGTCGGTTTCAACATTTTAGTGAAATGACTTATTACCAATGCTTGAGGGCAAGAAAATTGGCCGTGTTTTTACGCCGGTTTTTTTGTAGATACGCGAGATGCGGACGTGTGAAGTATCACAATGTGAAAATGCTTATATCTCGCTTGAGAGGACGCTACCCGCGCGTTTTTTGTCTCTGTCTCACAACCACGAGTGGTTACTGGTTAGGTTAGGATGACATGGCGAATTCGGGTTCCCGTGGAACAACTTTGTGCTGTCAGTTCTAATATTTGAATGAATTGGCCCATTATAAAAATTCAACGTAAGACTATTATATTATCTGTGCTTGTACGTTGTTTTAATTTCTAACGATATGTAAGTTTGCGGAATATCACAATTATTTTAGAGTATTTACGACTCGTTTAGAGATAAAAATATCGAAAAAAAACCTTACCTTTAAGTTGTACAATAGGTCAATTCACTCTAATATTAAAACCGACAGCAAATCGTTCCGCCTGAAATTAAATTCGCTACGTCGCGCGGTTGTAAGACGGTGACGGCAAACGCATGTGTAGCGTCCTTTTAAAAATTACAATATCGAGATGAAAAAAAAAAAAAAACAACAAACAAACAAACTTAGAAACGCTCTTCCCTTCTCGCGTTTGATACGATTCGGTCCGGTTATTAAAACCAACGACCGTTTACGTGACAAAATGCAGTAAAATATGATTTCAAATGCTCATCGTCGGCGACGTATTATGTCAAAGACTCCGAAATTTACCTACACCGTGCACAATATATCTGCGTATTTCCGACGGAAACGGCGATGCTCGTGTTTTCCGTTTGGCCATCAATATTCTGTCCCGGAATATGCCTACGAGCAGTTTTCACGCGAAATCCCAAACAACAAAACGAAACATAACAATATGTCAGTGTGTCCCATTATGGTGAGATAGTTTCGACAGTCTTACAATCGGCACGGTTTATTAATTAAATAAACGGTTTACACTGTTGATGCGTCGCCGAGTTACTAGAACCGACTGGCGCTAAAGTTCTTGTTTTATTTCGGGGTGTGTGTGTGTGTGTGTAAACGAAATCAAAGATGACCATTTTATACGTTCATTCCGAAACAAAATGTCGGCGTTACAAATGTTTACTATACCTAATAATGGTTTGCCACGATATTTTGATGTTTACACAAATCGTTTGCATTGCCACTACTAAAAATAATAATTGAAATGTATTGAATAAAAAAAACAAACTATAGGTAATAACTAAATAATACCGCGATTACTTGTTCGTGGAAAAATAAACCGATACTGTTAATAAGTACAGTGGCGATGGAAACAATTTAAATTATCGTCATAGCTTCAACAAATCGTAGAAAATCAACGGCTCGCCGTTATAGTGGTCATTTTTTTAACACTGACATTTTGTTTGAAAACAAATTAAAAATATAATAAAAAAAAAAAAAAAAAAAAAAAAAAATACAAAAAAAATGTAAAAATACCTATCGAAAAATATGTTCCACCTCCCCGTGGGATACCCTGCATTGGTAACACTCAGAAAAAAAAATAATAATAATAAATAAAAGGCTGAATTTGATACAATAAAATATAATAGGTATGCATGGCTATAACGTGCAACAGTTTCGAAAAATATTTATAATCCTTCGCCGATCGATACCGAAAAACGTGTTCGGAAAAACCGCAGAATCCAATAAAACGCTTTTTTTTTTTTTTCCCCCCGATTTCGTCGAACGAAAATAAACAGCGCCGTCGGTATTCGGTTCGGTGTCCACGCGACACAGTCGGACTATCTGCAGAACGGCCGCGGTAAAAGCGGTTTCGTCTAGAAACCGTTTCGTCGGAACACGCGGCGACGTTTCCGCTTCGGCGAACAAATGTTAAGGAAACGCCGCGCGTGAACCGACGACGTCGTGCGCACCGCGCTCTGGGGGGGAGGGGGGGGCGAATATCTCGGCAGGCGCGATTGCGTTGTACGATTCCGTGTTGTCGTCGCACAACCGCCGTATTGATATTTGCGGAATTTCCAAAGTGTAACGGCGGTGTTTTTCGCGCGGACGGTGGTTTAGGGAGGCGGCGAAATCGCGCCTCGCGGAACGCGCGGTACTGCGTATAACTCCCCCCGTTATTGCGTTTTCTCTGAAAACAAGATAGAAAAAAAAAAAGAAAAAAAAATGAAAATCGGTCTTCGGAAAAAAACGCGAATTCTCAAAAAAAAAAAAAAAAAAATCTCCGTCGGATTTTCCGGGCGCGCGACGGGCGGTGCGACGACGACGGCGTCCCGTCCGTGTTCCGTTTTACGTTTCCGCGCGTAAAATCGCGTCCGTGTATGTTCAGACACGCCGGATCTCTCTACGAAACGCGAGACGCAGTGCGTCGTCGTAATTTTGCGCGCGCCGCGTGATTTTAACACGGTGCGACTCCGCGAGTTCGGTGTGACGTTGAAACAACGCAACGCCGTGCAATAGAGGGAAAATAATGAAATGAAAAAAAACCGGAGACCGGACGGCCGGTGACTTCGGTACGCAAAACGCGCCGGGTCCCGTAATAAAAAAAAAAAAAATTCTCCGTCGGATTTTCCGGGCGCGCGACGGGCGGTCCGGAATCGTCAAAACGCGGTTTCGTGTCGGAAAGTTCGGTGCGGCGCGCGACCTAAACACCCGTGTCGCAATGTTACGGGGCATCTGCACGCACCCCACAAAACACATTGTCCCTCGAAATCCAAAGCGTATTTTACGGAGGTTCCCTGTGTCCGGACCGGACAACAAGAACGTGCAGGCCCGTCAGACGCGCGTGCCCGGTAGAGTGACGTTTTTTTTTTTTTTTTTTTTTTTT